ATCTAATCAACTCAACCAACACTAGACCCCCCACCACCAAATATCTAATCAACTCAACCAACACTAGACCCCCCACCACCAAATATCTAATCAACTCAACCAACACTAGACCCCCCACCACCAAATATCTAATCAACTCAACCAGCACTAGACCCCACTGCCAAACCCCAATCTGTCCAACCATCATTAGACCCCCACCTTCACGTTTGTGACTAATAAACACGAGTTTTGACAGAGTTTATGGTTTATAGCTGAACTGTCGGGTCCATATCTTCTGTATTTCTGACAGCAGAACCACTCTGGTGGACCAGCTGTTGTTGGTTGTGTGTAAACTGGGTCTGTGCTGAGGTAACCTTTAAATCCAGTCAGGGAGTTTGTTAGAGGACGGACGTTTGACAGTAAACAGGAAGTGAATCACAAATACTCATTATTGACACAGGAGGAAACATTTGGATCAGTCTTCTGGTATTTACCGGGACCTCGTCTATCGACCGTCCTCTGCTCCTGAAAGCTGACTGGGACGTCTTCAGAGGACATCCTCTGAGGACGTCCACTGAGGATGTCCTCTGAAGACGTCCTCTGGGACAAACGAGGAGCTTGCAGGGAAATCTTTAGAAAAGCAGGAGGTGTTTTTATATATTAATAGTTTCAGTTTGAGTCAGGACTGGAATAACCACGTTAACTCAAAGTTCCCACTCAGAGAAATGAACTTGAACGCCTCCTGAAGTCCAACCCATGTCAGCAGTTCTGACACGGCCTAGCCTGGCCCGGTCCAGTCCGGTCCGGCTGCCTGGATCACAAAACTGAGTCTGAAACCTTTTTAAAGAGTTTTTATTGGAAAAGTTGTAATAAAGTTTGATCTGTTTGTAATAAAATACAGTTTTTATAAATCAGACATTAGATTCAGTTTTAGAACAAAGTCCAACTGTTTAAATGTTAGAACAGAACCATCCGGGTCGAGCAGAACCAGGCCTCTGCAGATGAACAGGGGCTGGTGCGGGGGTCCTCACTGCCCCCCCGGGCAGAAGGGGCAGGAGTTGTTCTTGCTGGTCTGCAGCCACATCTGGATGCAGTCTTTGTGGATGGTGTGGGAGCAGCTCAAGGGGTACCGGTGCTCCGGGTCCACGTGGTTCTGGCACATCAGGCAGAGTTTTCGGACGCCAGTGGGTGGAGGGGGGGCGGCGGCTCTCTGCAGGGGCAGGGTGGGTCTCTGAATGGGCCCCGGAGGAGCGGGTCTGCTGATGGGCCCCGGGGCCGACCTCTCGCTCTGGGCCAGCTTGAAGCCCACCTGCTCGATGACATCATCCATGGACATCCCCGCCAGCGTCCCCCGGGAGCTCTTCACCTGCTGCAGCAGCGTGGTCAGCTGGGCCTTGGTGCACTGAGGGAACCGAGACCCCAGACGCTCCAGAACCTTCTCCAGTTTGTCGGTGGGGGCCGAGGG